AAGTGCCATGGTCTCGATCGCTAACCGACTCCACGTTTAATAGATTTTCATTTGACTTGATTTGACTGAATTATACGTAACGATATTGACTTTAACCGCCAGTGTGAATCAGGCTTAACCCCGCCGCGATCCTCGGATTTTCACATTTCGATTTAATTTCATTAGCAAACGAAGACGGATTTATAACAACGTGTAACGCAAAACTTAGTCGCAGAGGTATGCCTGATATGCAAATATTTCGAGTTTAAATTCCAGTTCTCTCTGTTTTTCTTTAATTTTAGAGAAATATAAGCGAAGGAACGGAGCAGGGTTAAAACGGCCGCGTTTCCCGACCTTGGTCGACATCCTGCCTCTGAAGATCGCAGCCACCGTGAGGAACTTGGCCAGCCTCGGGTCGCAGTAGACGAACATGCTGTTCGCATGAAACAACCTCTGCGTCAGTTCCGGAACCGTCAGGATCGTGTACGACCGGGCACTTCGTGAAAGGAGAGGCGCGTACGCCGGGACGAAGAAGTGTAGCCTGGGGAACGGTACCAGGTTGACTAGTAATTTTCTCAGATCGGTGTTCAGTTGACCGGGGAATCTGAAGCAAGCCGTGATGCCTGACATGTAATTGGATATCAAGTGATTCAGGTCGTTGAACGTTGGCGTGGCGAGTTTTAGGACGTGCGTGCATATGTGATGCAACGCCCGATTGTCGATGCAAAACGTTTGGTCGGTACACTCGATCGACCTGCCCAGAGTGAGCATCGCGTTGTACGGCTCTACAACCACGTCCGACATTAACGGGGACGGCATTACGCTGTAAGTCTTGAGTATCCTCTCCGGATATTCCTCCTTCAGCTTGGTCATCAGCAACGAGGACGTTCCACCGCCGGTTCCGCCGCTTAGTGAATGGACCATTTGAATACCTAAACGTTAAACTAAAATAAATTAGAACTAGATACACCACGTTGCAGTAATATTCGAACATTTGTAAGAACTTTTTGCTGGATATATTGTGTTTGTCGTGTGAAACATTTTGACGTTTCATTCGTAGATGCTACTTGATTGTTGTAATTGTATTGATTAAGCTCTGAAGCTAATCAGTGCAAGTCATTTTACAACTTGTGCTATGCAAATATTCTTTTACTACCAAACTTTAATCATTACAATCATTAAGTATAATCGTTATATTAACTAACATATAATCATATTATACAATCATTACAATCAATACAATCATTAGAATAGTATAATTAAAGTGTTCCATCGAATGAAAGTTTTGAAGATATATTTGTATGGCACAAGTAACTTTTAAACTGAAAAGTGATTGGCTTCAGCTTTTCATACGTGGAAATTACAAGTAGATATATATCTCATAGAGATCACAAAAGTACTTAAATAAATAATCATTAGTTCATTACACTAATATTCAATGGGATTATCTTTAACACAAAGATACTGTATATTAATTTTTTACTAAATATATGATTGCTGATAAATTTCTATATATGTATTTTCAGATTGTTTTTCTTAAATTTTAGCAATACATTTACAATTATAATAGTTAAAATGATCTACACGACACACGTGTGTTCGTAAATTTTCAGACACATAAAAAAATTTAGATAAAATACATATTAATGATGCAATGGTAGATATGCTATATCACGTCCTACCTTTCTCCATTTGTCATCTTCCTTACCTGGATTTGATTAGACTAATAATTATATCATTATTATACCATTATTATAGTAATTATACCATTCTTATACCACCATTATTATACCATTATTATAGTAATTATACCATTCTCTCCTTTGACAATTTGAGAATCAATCTCTCTGTTCAAATTTGAAAGCTTGATTTTAATTTCTAATTTTGTAAACATTGCTTTGATTACCAATTAAAGAAATCATATTCGTAAAATAAATTTAACTTAAATCAAATTAAATTTCAAGTTATTTTTACTTGAATTTATTAACTTATGAACTGCATAGAAATATATGCATGAAAAAGTTCTTCTGCAGTCATTGTTCGAATACTTTCGTGAGCCATTGTGCACAATTTTCGATCGTTTATAACAACAACAACAACAATAACAACCGCGATTATGACAACGAACCTTGCATTAAATCGCAGGCCTCAACCTCCGAACGAATCAGATCCAACGCAATATCGGCCAATTCGGCACCCTCGGTATAGTAACCTTTCGCCCAGTTGTTCGCGGCGCCAGCCTGACCTGCCGCCATATTGTCGGGCTTGAACAGCCTGCCGCACGGGCCCGATATCAGCGCGTTCAAACTTCCTGGATCGAGATCAACCAAAATAGCTCTCGGAACGTATCTACGACCTAAGAAAAACATTTCGACGTTGATCTACCTATACGTCGTGTTTCTCATCGTGGTTTTTTGATACGGATACCTGGCCCTTCTACGAAATACACGTTTATTCGTTGCAGCTGGAGCTCGGAATCTCCTTGAAACGTCCCGTCCATGCTCAGACCATGCTCGTCCGAGACCAATTCCCAAAACTACGAGGCCAAGCTAATAATTGGGTGGGACGTTTTTCCCCGGCGGGGATAGGGTTAATAAAAGACGTGAATTCGCGCTAGCTTACCTTCGAACTGATGTTATTTCCACATTGGCCAACTTGCACGTGTACGATCTCGCGCATCTTCCTTATTTTTGGATTTGTTTACGCTATTCAACGATGAATTTTCTTTCAATTTCGTGCGAAAGGGGAAAGGAAGAAGGGATGAAGAAACTCGGTGAACGGTTGAAACGCGACGCGATCGTGATTGGTGTGAAGTTCACACGGCTGTGAACTCTTATCGACTTCTCGCGACTCCGGAAATCGCGTCGCGTTTGTTTCGAACGCAGTAGTCGAGCAACATCCTCGACCATTCAAATTCACGCGACGTTCAGATGCCATAAAGAATATCTATTAAACGTTCAACAAAGATAATACAACGTTCTCTAAGTTACTTACAAAATATGTATACTCGTGTGTTTGTGTATATGCTGTAAGCGCGGGTGTGTGCGCGCGCTTCCGTGTGTCCGTGTGTGAATAAATCTATTATCATAATATAATAAGGTATCATGCGAGCATTTTTTTTCTGGTGGCATGTGTGTACATTATACATACGTAAAAATTCGTCGAAAATAACAAACGTAAAAAGATTAATGTACAAATGGAAAACCAGCTGGTCGAAAAGAGAAAAAAAGAAAAAAAAAAAA